ATGAAATTACCGGTATGTGGTGACTTCTGAGCTACAGAAACGGCAGTTTCACGTGTGCCAGCCCCGTACAGTCAGTAATCGCTTTGTGTTCTTAATGATGGGCTTCTAGCGGGTTTGCTAAAAGGTGGGGCAGAGGAGGGTACATTTGTTGTTTTTAATGACTTATATCTATTAATATATTCATAGTAAAGATAATCTCCTTTCTTTAAACATGAAAGACATATGTATAAGCTTAGATTATTTGTGGCTCTGAAAACAAAATCTTTATTTCTTTAGAAAATAGAAGGTCTTGGTTTTATCCAGACATCTGTGACAGGTTTTTGTTGGTGAATTCACATAGTGAATGATTGCTTATGGTTCCTTCTGTCAGCTTTTAGTTTGGATGCTGAACAGCCTGATTATGATTTGGATTCTGAAGATGAAGTATTTGTGAATAAACTGAAAAAGAAAATGGACATCTGCCCATTGCAATTTGAGGAGATGATTGACCGTCTAGAAAAAGGCAGTGGTCAGCAGGTACAACTTCATTTATATATAAGTGTGTATGTGCATATTCTGTGTAAATATCTGCATTATATGGAAGGAGTGTTTTAACACTGTGAGGGTGAGGTAAGCAAGCAGGCTTTGGAATTAAAAAGCATGGATTCAGATCTCATCTCTGCCTGTTAACTAACTTGTGTAATCTTCAACAATATGTTTAAATTTTCCTGTACCTAAATTTCCCCAGAATTGTTGTAAAAATTAAATAAAATAATGTATATAAAATACCTAGCTCAATGACTGACATGTATAAGGTATTCCACATAAGTTTGCTATTTGTTAATACTGTCATAATTTTGATTGTCATTTAAATCTAAAAGTAAATACTTTTGAACCTTACATATTTATTATATGAAAATGACATAATCGTTTTACATTTAGCCAGTCAGTCTGCAGGAAGCCAAACTACTGCTAAAAGAAGATGATGAATTAATTAGAGAAGTTTATGAGTACTGGATTAAAAAGAGAAAAAACTGTCGAGGGCCATCTCTTATCCCATCAGTAAAACAAGAGAAGCGAGATGGTTCCAGCACAAATGATCCTTACGTGGCTTTTAGAAGACGTACTGAAAAAATGCAGACTCGAAAAGTAAGTGAATTTTGAGGATTTTTTTGGTAATTTTTTTCATA